GGGGACCTTCCAAGCACAACATTACAGTACAAGCAACCAGAGCATATAAAAAAAAGAACAACTAGGGATAATATCGGTGCTCTATATGGCAGCGAATGCTGAACCATCTCAACACAGATGGCGAAGAGACTTGGGACAGCAGAAATGTCGTTCTACAGAAAGATTCTGAGGAATACCAGGGACTCAGCACGTGAGCAAGACGAAGTTCTGGAGGAGAGAAAAAAAGGGCACTTACACGTGGTATCAAAAAGAGAAAGAAGAACACAACGCATCTGTGTAAACAGGGATTAGGAGAGATATCAAAATTTACTCAGAGCTAAAAAGGACAGGAAGTTGTGGAGATCCATGATCACCCACGTCCTGAAGGGAAAGGGAATGTGCAAAAATGCGAACTGAAAGATGTATTAGTCCAGCATCAGCATTAGTCCAGAATAGTGGCGAAATTTCATCAGAATGACTGTGCTGCGTCGATACGAGAGTGTAGAAATTTTTCTACAAATGCTATAAAGGAGGCGTCTTTCGGTAAAAAAGAGGCGCCAAACTTCTTAATATGTTATCTTTTGCCAGAAAAATCTAAGCTAATAAATGTCTCTTTCTCACACATACATTTATATACATATATATGCAAACTTGTGTAGGTGCATATATTATATATATATATATATATATAATGATAAAAATATTTTTTGAAGTATGCTATATTTATGGATAAAAGTGCTCAACATAAGGGACAGAGCTTAATCTGTTTTCAGGGCATCCGTGAACACATTCTGAAGATTGTGGTCAAGCATGAAACAGACTGTTGCAGCCAGTGTTAACCTCGGTGTATATATATATATATATATATATTTTATACACACACAAAAACAATAACATGTATATCGTGGTGACACATCATATCAGCAAGCATAGACTCATGTTCACATAGGATAATAAAATAATACACAGATATAACACTAAAGCATATTAAATTGTAAATAAAAATCATACAATTTATTTATTTGTGTGTATATATATATATATATATTTCTGTTACGGGTGTTTCATGTGATAAAAGGAAGAAGTCACGAAGAGAGGAGTGGGACGTCTTGACCTTCCAAGGGTCGTTAGTGAAGAGACTGACTTCAGCGGCTTTTGGCGCGAAGTTCGTTTTCAGGCAGGAAATGTTTCTGCTGCATTCTGGGAGAAATTTTCTTCATCTTTTTTTTTTTTTATTTAATTTATTTAAAACAAGGTTTTAATGTTATTTGTTTTATTTTAATTATTATATTCATTATTATTATATTATATTTGATTTTCATTAATAATAATAATAATCATTTTGGACCTACAATATATATGCAGACATGTATACTAACATATGCAGACACATACACAAAAATACACACACACACACGTGTGTGTTTGTGTTTGTGTGTGTGTGTGTGTCAAAAATACTTTTAAAAAATTGGGAGCAGGTTCCTCACACCAAAGCAAGGACAAAAGTCCGGATAAACTTATGTCCGTAAAGCCTTAGTTTTTGAGTTATTAAGTTTAAAGAAAGTTTACGGTAGATTAGTGAGTGGATCAGAATTCCCTAGGGTACAATACAGGCTAGATTCCGGCATCAGTTTATGATTAATATATAAGCTGGAATTGTTGGTGACTGTCTGGTAGGCCCATATGTCCACCCAGCACATCTTACAGGAGACGTCACCAGGGACATTATTTCGAACACACTTCCAGACCAAATAGCAAGTGTAACTCTGTTAATACATAAATGCATGATGGGGCACCAGCACATTTTCCTTACATCGTTCGCGATGCACTGGCTGACATAACTATAAGATGGATAGGTAGGGGGTTGCTCGGACCCATGGCCTCTACGTTCCCCCGGCGTCAAACCTTTGGATTTTTATCAGCAGGCTCGCCTAAAACAATTGGTTTATGCAGTAGACATTAATAACGCAGACGCGCTTCATCAACGTGACATGGGGGCCTGCGAAACCATTCGACACCGTGTGGGAGTATATGAAAGGGTCCACCAGTCAATGATCCGACGGGTTCATGCAAGTAAAAGCAAGTGGATGATATTTTGAACATTTGTTATGAGTTGCTGTATTGAGGTACAACGATAGCCATTTGGATATATGTTTATATGGACATTTTAACTTGTTTTGGTGTCAAGAGGCAGGCCAAAGATTTTTAAAGTATTTGGGGATTGTATCTTGGATTATGCATTTAACAGCGTCTACCGTATACTTAAAATTTAAAAATTCAAAAGCAACGATTTGCGGAGACTTTTCTCCTTATTTTGTTGTGAGCAACCTGCCCCAAAAGATTGTAAAATTATTTTTGATACACCCTGTATGTTATATACCAAACAAAATTAACACCAGGTCTTCCGATCTCTCTCTCTCTATATATATATATATATCCTATCTCTCTCTATAGAGAGAGAGAGATATATATATATATATATATCTATATAGAGAGATATATATATATATATATATATATATATATATATATATATAGTTTTACGTGTAGGGTCCCTTCAAGATGTGTCCGACCGTGACTATTTACAACCTGTTCAATCTTGTCGCTCTTAGCAACGTTTGTCCCTTTGCCTCGCCTCGCTCCGCATTATTCGACTGATAAAATTTTCCGATTAAGTTAAATCAAGAAACCTTTGAAATTCATAAACATCTTATTTGTTAAATATACGTACAGGCAAAATATCAAAATAGAAATTCAAGATAAAATAAAGATAAAAGATTATATATATATATATATATATATATATATATATATATATATATATAAGCTGAGGCCTCAAAGACAAAGTCGGTAGAACTTAAATATAATATGTTGTAATAATTAAATATTATTAATATAAATATAAAACCTGCTAACCAGAGTTTCATGCATTAAACACAATCCCCAGGCGGAAAAAAAATGGATAAACGCTTTCTCTCTCTCTCATTATATATATATATATATATATATATATATATATATATATATATATATATATATATATATATATATAAAACCACTCATGATGATAATAGATAAAAAGTGAAACTGAAAAACGGGCTAGCTAACCAGCTTCGAACCTCGCCCAACAGACCTAAATCGAGGCTAATAAATAGAATTATCACTAAAAAGAGATGGACAATATGTATTCGGGGGGAGAGAAATTATAATATATATATATATATATATATATAATGTGTGTGTGTGTGTTTAGGCAGCAATCCTTCATTTATACATGTTTCATTAAAGACTACAGACAAGGTACTGCGATTAAGCTTTTTATTTAATTTTTCTTGTGTTTGAACAGGTGCTTTCTTTTTTGGACAAAAAAAAAGAAAAAAAGAAAGAAGAGATTCTATTTATGCTTGCTTGACTAGATTTGGTGATGGAAGGGGGAATTTCCCTCCGTGCCTGTTCGGGGTGACACTCTCACATACATACACACGCATACAGGTGTATGCATACGTTAGGTTAGCTCCATAACTGATATTGAGTGCTTTCCATTAACTACTACACATGCAAAATGAAATTTTGCATATTTTATATATATATATATATATATATATATATATATATAAAGAAATATAGTCTTAAGGTGTGCTATATTTATGGGATAAAGTGCTCAATATCAGAGATAGAGGTGTGTGTGTAAATATAAAAGTGAACATAAGTCAATCATAGAGGCGACAGTCTGTTTGACGATTGCATATATCGTGAAACAGACTGTCGCCTCTAACGATTGTTGACTTCTATGTTCACTTTTATATTTATATATATATATATATATATATATATATATATATATATAGATAGATAGATAGAGATAGATAGAGATAGGTAGAGATAGATAGATAGATAGAGATGGGTTGGTTAATAAAACAAAAGAAAACGAAAAGATACCAATGTGATTGCGAAGAAGAATATTATATAAACTAAAATAAATCCTAAAGAGCCAGGAAAACCTACCTAGGTTTCACCTAAACGTATCTTCAGGGTATGTTGACTTAAAAGGAAGTGACGAAATAGTATTTATTGATAAAACCATTAAAAACTCATAAGCATAAAACCTCGTGACAGAAGAAGACAAAAAAATAAAAGCGTATATTCCAATAACCAGGATTTATTTTAGTTACTCCCGTTCTACTAAGCGTATTGAGCGTACTACGTTTTTAGTCTTACGACTCGCTTGGTAATTTTTTTTTCTTTGGACTAAAGTCTTAAGGCAATCTAGTCTATTTATTTCGCCCTATTCGGATGTTTTTAGTTCTTTTTTTTCCAATTTTTTCCTCGGCTACCGATTTGTTTTGACATATCTACAAGTTGAGCTATCTGAGTTTTTTTTTTATAGTATTACTATATATATTGTAAATTAATTGATTTGAAACATTAGTTCCATTTCATCCTCAAGCGAGGATGAAATGTAACTAATGTCTTTAATTTAATTTCAAAATTAAATTCGGGGCTTTTAGCTTCCATTTTTGAAACATGGTTAGAACTGTGTAGCGGAAAACCCATATTTTAAATCAATTAATTTATAATATTCTGTTAATTTACATTGAGCACTATTTCGTAAAAATAAAAATATCTATAAGAACATTGGATTATATATCTTACTGTTCTTTATATATATATATATATATATATATATATATATATATATATATATATATATATATATATATATGCGCGCACGTGTCACTAGAAAGGGATGTTTTATCAGTGCTTTGTTTATGAACGATCGTCTGTATAAAATCGAGATTTCTGTCTCGCATTTATTAGTAGTTATTCACTTGACACATCGGTGTTGGTTTGAAGAACAATTCATTCTCGCATTGAATGATTCTGCTACTATGCCTTGTCAGTGTGACCGACGTGTAAGATGCGCGCGTAGAAGTTTGCTACCCATACACGTGTCCCTGCTGTGAAAAGGTAGTACTACTAGTCACGTTCGCTTTATTCTTTCTGTGTAGTGGCAATGTCAAATGCAAATACACGAGGCCAGTAGTTCTCGTCCTTTTCGAGTTTGTTTGGATTTGAAATTGGACTTTTAATCTCTTCTACGTGTGGATCTTACGATCAACTTGTTCTTGTTTCTCTGCATTTCATTATAATTTTCTATCTAGATCTGTTCATGTGTATTTCTCTCTCTCTCTCTGCCCCGATCTGTTTATATATCTATCTCTTTAAAAATGTTATGAACCATTGAGACACAATAAAACATTCTGGTATTGAAGTGTAGTATAAATACAAAACTCTACCTATTTCTGTAGAGATCTATCTAAATCTGTTCGTATCTATCTATCTATCTCTCTGCCCCGATGGTTACTATCTATCTATCTGCCCCGGTTTGTTCCTATCTATCTATCTATCTCTCTGCCCCGATCTGTTCGTATCTATCTATATCTCTGCCTCGATCTGTTACTATCTCTCTCTCTCTCTCTCTCTCTGCCCCGATCAATCTATCTGGCTCGATCTGTTCCTATCTCTCTAGCTATCAATCTATCTGTCCCGATTTGCTCCTATCTATCTCTCTATCTATCTATCTATCCATCTCTGTCTCGATTTGTTCCTATCTATCTGCCCCGATCTGTTCATATATATCTATACATGCTATCGCTATGTCAGTCCGGTTCTCCCTATAAATATGTGTTCACGTCTATAAAACACCCGCTTTTCTCGTAAGCGACTCTTTAGTTCTCCATGCCGAAGAAAGCGTGTGTGCGCACGCGCGGTAACTGCAGCAAACAGGAAGCATGTACATCGTAAAATGAACTCTTGTTATTAGGATTACAAGTAAACTACTATATATCAAGAATATTAATAGATTAAAAAACACACACGGAAAGGAAGACTGTATAGCACCAATATTACAACTAAAAAAGCAAGTGCATGCACAGGTTTTCTGTGCTTATGAAACAGGTGCGCTTTTTCTACAAAAGGTTAGTACCACTGCAACTAAGTTAATATTTTCTTTTCGCAACAAATGTTTGTTTCAGTTGATTCTAGCGTGTAACCAGCCAGGTATTCAAGGATCTGCGAATCTAGGTGTTTAGTAGATTGCATAAATAGTTGCTTTCTGACATGCGAAGTTTGGTTTAGATGGTGCAAAATCGTCTTTCAAGTGCATTTTTCCAGCAGCAGAGAATAGAGGGTCGACGCGGGGAACACAGTCGGTTGTGATGTAGTCTCATCTCAGCCTTCGCACAAGTTCTAAGGAAAAAAAATAAAGGTGACTATAAAAAAAAAAAAAAAAAAAACGGCTGCGAACGATCGGTTTTTTTAATTTAATGTTCACTCAATACAAGGCCTGAGATCCGCTCAAGTTAAAACAATCTTATTTAGTAACGCTCTAAGGAGGTAAGAGGAAGTAAGTGTAGGTTATGAAGACCTGTAGGAGGGATAACGGTTTGAATAGTTTAATATCGATTAATTGATTTTTTACGGTTTATCAACCGTTTCTGGATGAATCTAAAGATTTTGGATTTTTTTTTTTTTGCGAGTCTTTATTGCGGAAAAGGGTTGAAAGTTTTGTGGAACACCAGGAACACTTTCCCGCCACTGGAAAACGGAGAAAAATGGCGTGGTTTGGACACATTACAAGGCACGACGGCCTATGCAAGGGGACGTTGGAGAGGACGCCAACGCAAAACTGGTTGGACAATGTCAAAAAAATGGACAGGTATGACTGTACCAGAATTGCTGATGGCTGCCGTTAATAGACCAGAGTTAGTGTGCATTCGGATACGCAATACGATTAAAAAAATCGAGGGGATGATGATGATGATTGCATTAATTTTTTTTTTTTTCGTTACTTATAGATAACGATTTTTCTCATAGACGACTTACTGTGTCTCTCTATATTTCTGAGATGAGGCATTATGTACACTATTTACACTGTTCAGACTATCATCCTCATCTTTGTTGCCTTATCACAACGTTTCCACCGTTCTACGCTCCGGCCTTTTTCAGTTGGTTGGAATGTCACTCGCTGGGGTAGACTGTCCTAGTTCCACGTGACATGTCTAATGGATGTCAGTTATCAGTTATCTCCTGTTAATTCCCCTCTTCAACTTCTCCACTGACTTAACCAGGTATTGAACTCACACTCTCTGGGTCCTGTCAGTGGTTACCCACTGCGCCATGTGTCCTTGAGGACTTCTGCAATTTCTGGGTATTATAAACCTAATGTCTTCAGCAAACTTTTTTTACTAGTGCTCATATTGCAATTTGTGCTGTTATCATTGCATTTTTTTTTTTTACCAGAGCTCATACGAACCCCAATGTGTATTTACAATGTACCATCGTAAAGTTCACCAGAACAATTACCACGAAAGTAAAAACACAGGGCAGATACATTATGGTGGTGGGAAAATGACTTAAGACGAACTGCCATGTTAGGACCAATAATATTGCAGATTATTTCGATTTATTATCAAGAATTGCTAAATATATAGCAGGGTACCGGATCATATATATGATGGCGGTAGTAGAATCAAGGACGAATGGTAGAAGGATAAATATGTAAAATCGATTCTGGCAAATATATATATATATATATATATATATATAGCACGACTCAAGGAAGTTTCTTTCAGAAATTTTTTTCTTCTTTATGTTTTTCGATAAATTAGGTATTTAATTACCGGATTGGAAAATTCGTAATCTTAAGAATTCTCCTGAGCCGACCAAGCATAGAAATGAATACAACATGGGAAACAGTAATAAGGAGTGCCAGAGAAAAGCAATGATAAAGTTGCAATATGAGCATTGTTAAAAAAAATAATGCTGAAGTCATTAAGTTTATAAATCCCAGAAATTCATACACAAATGTCCTTAAGTACGACATGACACAGTGGATAAAAGCGTTGGTTAGATCCAGTGACAGGACCCAAAGAGTTCCGAGTTCAATACCTGGTTGGAGAGGTGAATTAACAGGAGATAACTGACATCCATTAGACATGGCACGTGGAACTAGAATAATCTGAGCAAAATAAAGGTTTCAGTTCGACATTCCAACCACCTGAATAAGGCCGGAACGTACAACGGCCGAAACGTTATGATAAATATGGCAACAAAGTTGAAGACAATAGTCCGAATAATGTAAATAGTATTAATTACCCGATATATATATATATATATATATATATATATATATATATATATATATATTTATTTCAAACACATGTCCTTGGTGCCCCGATAATATTACAAGGAGTTTCCGAGTTTGTTTCTTTTGAAGAAAGTTCTTTATTTTTTCCGGCACTTTCACTTTAGTCGTGCTTGTCTGCCATTACTATTTTTCTTTTTCTTTTTCGATACACTGTTTTTTTTAACCTTGAACCAGGCTAGCTTAATTTTGTAATAAATATGCCTTTATTCTTTGTCATCTATCATAGTAAATAGAAACTGCCTTGACAGTCTCCCTCTGTGTGCGTGTGTGTGTGAATATACAAGCATAGGCACTTTCGGATATCTGTGCATCGACTACAAGACATGTTACTGCTGTAAATAGTAGGGGGAACTTAGATTTTGGGGACCGTGAAGTCTGAACCGTTAGTATTGGGAGGTGGATGGAGGCTTCGCAGTCAGCAACAGTCGAACAACATCCAAGAAGGTCCAAAGGGCATATCTGTTTCTGAAAGGATTCGATGGTGGAGAAAGGGATGATGGTTTAGAGATATTGAAAATGGGCCATACAGTAAACGCCCTCTAGTCAGCAACCGAGTTTGGTAAGATATAAACAGTGTGAACATAGAAATCAACACTGCATGGCGATCGTCAGTTTCACGCCTAAAGAAAACATATAACCAGATGTTTATATATGTATATACATACCCACAACTTTTCAATATATATATAAATATATTAGTTTATGAAAAACTAGGTAATCCATATCGGTAAACCCAAGGAGAGCTCAATGTAGATCCAGAGCAAATAATTTTAAAAAAACAGACCACTTTAAGGTTCCATGTAATAAATTATTTTACCACAGCCCTTTTAAAGGACTGCGGATCATCAGACTTTACGTTGAAATGGAACCTTAAAGTGATCTGTTTTTATTTATATATATATATATATATATATATATATATATAATGAAAACAGACCACTTTAAGATAATGGTACCTTAAAGTGGTCTGTTTTTCATTAAATATTAGCTCTGTTCTTCACATTGAGCTCTCAGGATTTCATCTTCCTTGGATTTACCAAGTTCTTCATAACTTATATATATATATATATATATATACACACACACACACTCTCTAGTAATAATCTTATATTTATAAGAAATTGTACTCGTCCGGGAAACTTTCGTTGTCTTGATTTGCAAATAATCAAACAAATAGCAAAGGGGAAAAAAGGTATAAAAAAAAGAAAGAACAAAGAACACTTACGTCAGCCGAAAATAATCGTCTGACATCCAAGTCCAAAAAAACGATACGAGTAAGTAAAATAACTAAATAAAGTGCTCAATACTCTAAGTAGAGCAAAGCTAATTAAACCGAAAGAGCCAGACAAATGTGGATCGTCAGGGGAGGCTGTCTCCCTGACGATCCGCTTAGGTGAAACCTTGGTAGGTTTGTCTGGCTCTTTAGGTTTTAATATATATATATATATATATATATATATATATATATATATATATATGCAGATATTCGGACGAGGTGCATTCCTTAGTTCCACTAGTTCAGACCTTAACAGTTAAGCCTGACTATGCCTCTTTCACAAGGTCGAAGCATCCTCATTCCCTTTGTATTCGATTGGTAAGAAAAGACGTCAACCCATAAAGCTTTTTTCCGATCACTATAATTTTAACCCCTTCAAGTCTACGGCCAACCGTTTTAGCTATGATCATAATCTACGCTTCCAACTCTAACCTGCGTGGCTCTTGGGCCTTGTATTGGCCGACTATTTAGTAAATGAATAAAACTTTAAAAAAAAAGAAAACTTATAGGATCTGTTCTGCAGAGATTCCCCATAATTAACGCCTTGTGCCAAACTAAATCCAGGAATTAAAGAAACCGTTTATCTATGTCGATAATCGTCAAGCAACTTCTTGAATGTTTAGATACAAAGAAGATGGAGAGAAAGTCAAAGTGGAGAGGCCTGCGAGTTTTGCCTCGGTGTGGATGCGTGTGTGCCAAGTGTGCGCTGTTTTGAATTGATAGAAACATTGTTAGGGACTACTACTACTGCTACACGAGATGAAGCTACCGAAGCAGCCGCCAAATGAAGAAAGAGCTGAGGCAGTACAAATTCTGCCGAGTTGAACATCAAGAGTTTGTATTTTAAGTGAGCGTTACAGCTTCAGCAAAATATCTCCCATCTGTTCACATCATAGAATACCTGACAGCTAACTGTAGTTACACAATGTATTTCTGAGTATATATATATATATATATATATATATATATACACACGTGTGTGTGTGTGTGTTTCGCTGAATACGACGACAAAGTATACTTTCTAAGTGCGTGTAGAATCGTCTGAAGACATTTCTACACACCAAGAGCGTGTAGAATCGTCTGAAGACATTTCTACACACGCTTAACACTCACAGAATAAAAATTGCAAGATTACGAGAAAAATTTAAAAGAAAAATATTCCTTGTCCCTCGAATTTAACGAAATATAAAAAAGGACATTTTTACGGTTGTAGTTATTAGAAGATTCCTTAATTAAACGCATCAGACCTACCCAACCAGTACTTTTTCGAACGGAGTCAGTGAAATTAAACAAAAAACACTCCGAAGAATTACATTACTTCTACTACTATTACTCAAACACCATACTTTATAGGACAACATAAATATGCTATCAGTCTTAGTTATCACGAAAATAAAATAAAAAAAATATCTCTTAAAAAAAAAATGGCTAAAGAATTAGTCGAAAGCACTGGGCAATTATGGACAATTCCTGTAAACACTTCGCTTTCAAGAAAGAAAGGTTCTAAAGGAAACTGAATAATAACTTACAAATTATTCCTTGTTCGTCATATTTATCGAGACACGCATGAAAGGTTTACTTCCCAAATCGATCGATCGATCTATAGATGTATCTCTCTCACACACACACATTATATATTATATATATATATATATATATATAAATAAAGGGAAGAGGATGCAGTAGTTTCCAAGAGAGAAAAGTGTGTATATTAAAAATTATGGAAAATAAAGGATAATATATTTTTTAAAAATCCACATTACAACCAAAAACGTTTGCGGTTTCGGTTTTCTCTCTTCTTTATATATATATATATATATATAGTGTGCGTGCGTGTCACTAAACGAAAAATATGGAGGCGGGCGTGACACATCGCAGGAAAAGAGAAAAATGGTGCTGGATCGGTGATCTGCGGATAGTAAACATATTAGAAAAAGACTATGAAGATGAGATGGGGATTCTGTTTGTAACTGTTGTCGGTCGTCATGGATGAACTTGCAGCTGTCTATCAAAAGCCGATGATATATCAATGTGTGGCACTATGCCGGGATCGATCTCACATTATTTGTAATGGTCGACACGAGCGTGATACCCTCCCCCCCCACCACCATCGATCGTATAAAGAGCCCGCTGCTGCAAATACAGACTCGTGTCGTCGGGCCAGGGGTTTACAGAATACTAGAACCGTTACTTGAAGATCTTAGCTGAATTAAACTAATTCTGGCAGAAGTTCAAACACGATAGGCGCCTTTCGATAGATTTTGCTTGTCACAGAATTCTGTAGTCGTTTATTCCTGGCTATGTAAAAAGTTTAGGTTAGCGAGCACATAGCCACAGTTATGGCGCACTTAATGATTAAGAAGGAACGTGCTACACTAGCTAATCCTTTTCAAATATTAACACATTAAACATCATATTCATTTTAGAGTTTCATTTATATATATATATATATATATAAGATATTGCATGTGTACAAACAAGTACTCACGACAAAGACGCATCTCTTCACGTGAGGAACAAAAATGGTTATAGACGTTATATAATAATAATAATAATATATATATATATATATATATATATATATATATATATATATATATATATATATATAGTCTGCTGTAAGTAATGTATTGTTCAGTGTGGACGGAAATGACTTATATTCCATATGCGTTCAAGACGCTGATGATGATCATGACCCTCCACAACTTTCTTTTTGTTGATCTAAATTTTGATAATTTGACAGCCGTCTTTACCTTTGTTCTGCCTTCCGTTCACACAAATTCGTTAAGTGATAACGGCTCTCCCCGACTTCCTTTCTTTTGTTGCACTAAGTAACTTTTGACTCTTTACAATCCGTCTTTGTTCTGATTGTGTCATCTGTATGCTGCTTCTTTTATGTGCTATGTCTCTTCTGGACCCGGGCGATCATGGATCTCCACAACTTCCTGCCTTTTGTTGCTCTAATTAATGACTTTTTACCATCTTTATTTGTCCCGATTTTCCCTTGCTTCGTTTATCTGCGATGCCTATTCAGAGACTGGTTGATCATGACTCTCCCCAACTTCCCCTCTTTTGTTACTCTTTTGATTCTTTGCCAGCTCTAAAAATTCATTAAGTAAATTACTTGCTGTATCTACACACGATTCTTTTGGCTTCAGTATACACTGTGGGTGTTAAGTTTGCTAAATCTTCTTTCCTCATTATATGATTGTAGGCTTCTAGTTTCTTGTAACTTGTCTCTGTCTTTCCCTGTTTCTCTTGCCACCAATATGCCCTGTGAGTGTTACGCTCTCCAGGCCCCCTTTCCTCATTATGCGTCCCAGAAGTTTCAACTAACTTTCTGTATGTTCTATGAGCTGAACGTGGCGACCATAATATCAGGTGCTCTTTATTGTTCGCATTTTTGGGTGAATAAAAACATTTATTTATTTCCTGTTTATGCTTCGCCTAAAAAAAAAGGCCTAAAAAAATCTTTACCAATTTACATTGTCATATTCACGACGTTTCGGCCGTTGCACGACCCGGCCTTCTTCAGATGATTGAAATTTAGAACCGAACCCTTTATTTCGTTCGCCGGGGTAGATTATTCTAGTTCCACGCATCTTCCGTTTGATAAACTAGAATAATTTTTTATCCACAGTGGATAAAAAGTAACTGAAGTAATCTTTGTCTTGCCAAAAAAGTTATCATAGAGCCTTTACCTGGCCATACCGGAGGTGAACAAAAAAAAAAAAAAAAAAAAAAACTTGGACAGATGAGTTAAAGGGAAATAACCGAAACGGAGATAAACTGAGGCATGGCACGTGGAACTGGAACAATCTAGCCCGGTGGACGAAATAAAGGGTTCGGCTCAAAATTCCAATCACCTGAAGAAGGCCAGAGCGTACAACGACCGAAACGTCG